CTGCTGGGGTGGCCAGCGGAGCGACGCCCCACGGGGACTTAGATTAGACCTCGCCATCTCTGGGGGGCTGCGATATGCGAAACTGTCGCCACTTTCGAGGGCTGCTGGGGTGGCCAGCGGAGTGACGCCCTACGGGGACTCAGATTAGACCTCGCCATCCCTGGGGGGCTGCGATCTGTGAAACTGTCGCCACTTTCGAGGCTGCTGGGGGGCCCAGCGGAGTGACGCCCTACGGGGATTCAGATTAGACCTCGCCATCCCTGGGGGGCTGCGATCTGTGAAACTGTCGCCACTTTCGAGGCTGCTGGGGGGCCCAGCGGAGTGACGCCCTACGGGGATTCAGATTAGACCTCGCCATCCCTGGGGGGCTGCGATCTGTGAAACTGTCGCCACTTTCGAGGGCTGCTGGGGGGCCCAGCGGAGTGACGCCCTACGGGGACTCAGATTAGACCTCGCCATCCCTGGGGGGCTGCGATCTGTGAAACTGTCGCCACTTTCGAGGGCTGCTGGGGGGCCCAGCGGAGTGACGCCCTACGGGGATTCAGATTAGACCTCGCCATCCCTGGGGGGCTGCGATCTGTGAAACTGTCGCCACTTTCGAGGGCTGCTGGGGGGCCCAGCGGAGTGACGCCCTACGGGGATTCAGATTAGACCTCGCCATCCCTGGGGGGCTGCGATCTGTGAAACTGTCGCCACTTTCGAAGGCTGCGTGGGGGGCCCAGCGGAGTGACGCCCTACGGGGATACAGATTAGACCTCGCCATCCCTGGGGGGCTGCGATCTGTGAAACTGTCGCCACTTTCGAAGGCTGCTGGGGGGCCAGCGGAGTGACGTCCTACGGGGACTCAGATTAGACCTCGCCAGCGCTGGGGGGCTACGATCTGTGAAACTGTCGCCACTTTCGAGGGCTGCTGTGGGGCCCATGAAACTGTCGCCACTTTCGAGACCTGCTGCGGGGTCCAGCATAGTGACGTCCTACGCGGACGCAGATTGGACCCGTCATTCTACTTCGATTATCCCGCATCTGCGATCGACTGTATGTGTGCGAGGAACTAGACATGGAGTGGTCTGGCACTGACTGACGTCAAATCGTTGTGTGCCAGTGTCTCCTGGGGTGTTGCCTGATGTGGATGCAGCTCGTCGGCGCTGCGACTCGAGCTGGCGGTCGTCCTTCGGACCCGCAGAAACATCTGCTGAGCTCGATGAGCTAGGGGAACTACAGGAAAGAAGTGCAGGAAACGGAGGTCGGTCATGCACTCGCCGATACCTCGTTGCTCTGTCATCGTCTTTGCTGTTGCATGATCCTTATCTGGCCTGCCGGCGCCGCGGCTCGAGCTGGCGGTCGCCCTTCGGGCCCGCGGGAACATCTTCTGAGACAAGTGGACGCCGCCGCCTTACTTGCAGGCAGCGCATTGCATTCGCGGACAGCAGCATGGCAGACCGCAGTGAGATCCTCAGTCGCGTGGTGTTGCCAAGCCTGGTGGAGACGCGCGTGATCGACCTGAAGTCCCAATCGCGCGTGCACTGTCCCTGCGTGGCGTTCAGGCACGCGCGTGATGCTGCTCGCTCCGCGTTCAACCAGTACGTCGCCAGTGCAACTTTGGACGATGGACAACCGATTGATGATACGCGACCCCGGCCTTGAGTTTCTTTCCCGCGGGCCGCCCGCAGACCTGGCGGCGCGCCTGCGAGCGTTCAGCTCCCGCGCTGAAATGTGCGGGAAGGAGGCGGAGAAGCTAGCGGGCGAGCTACGCCTCGCTCGTTCCTTGCACCTAAACAAGTTTTATCATGTGGAACTCTGCGACGACATGGCGCAGGCAGCGCTGCGGGTTTAGCTCGCACTTGAAAAACGCGGCAGTCTTCTGTCTCCTCCCGCCACTTTCATCGTCGTCCTATTCCCCGCCTCACCTTCTCCATGCATGCTGCTGCTTCCGCGATGGCCTTTCGCCCCCCCCGCCCTCCATTCCATCCCTCTCCTACCCCTCGTTCCCGTGCCCGTTCTTCTTCGATCCTGGGGCCTCAAGCCTCGTTCTTTCGATCGTCGTCCTGTGAATCGTGCAACGCATGCGCATCCCATGTAGCTTGCACAGCAAATCGCCGCGTCTACACTGTCGCTGTTCCTGCTAATGTTGGCATACTCCTCTTGCCATTTGTTGCACGACGCCGACGATCACGACGACGATAACGACGACGACGCCGTCGAGAAGGACGACGACGACGACCACAACGACGACGACGACGACCACCACAACGACGACGACGACGACGAGGACGACGATGGCGTTTACGACTACGACGACGGCCGCACTTCAAGATCTCCAGACGTCTCCGGAGGCCTCAGCAGGTTTGCGGAAGTCTCTGGAGGCGTCTGGAGGCCCTACCAGACCTCCACCGGCGACGACGACGACGACGACGAGGACGACGATGAAGACGACGATGACGACAAGAACGAGGACGAGGATGAGGACGAGGATGGAGACGAGGCCGACGACGACGACGACGACGAGGACGACAAAGAGGAACAGGATGACGAATGTCGCAAAACCATATTAAAACACATGGTTTCGCAACATCAAGTTTCACAAAACCCTGTGCTCGCGCTTTTGCAAATCTGTGGGAAAACCATACGTTCTGTAACACGTTCATTGACTTGTCGGAAGCGCCTCTCGCGTCGCACGCCGAAATCATTCGAACGCCCTTGTGCGCGTGTTGGGGGGGGCACGATCCGTGTCAAATAAAACCACGCGGGCCACTCTCGCGCGTCGGCCGCGCGCACATGTCGAACTCCTTCCAAAACCTTCATCACCGACGTGATGACGCCGTCATCGTCGCTGGCATGATCAGCATCGGCGCCGTCACTGGCCGTGCCGTCGCGTTCCCCAACATCGTCACCAGCACCGCTACTATCATCATCGTGTCTACCTTTACGGACGTTGCCATGATACCGCGGTCGCGTCGATCGCGCCAAACTAGCTGGCCGCTGCGCGCGCGATCATGCGCGGGCTAGCGCGGCCGCAGAGATGCACCAGCCAACACCAAGCACTCATCACAATCGCTTCCGCATGAGTTTTGCAGACCAAAGTGCGGGTGGGTGGGTGGGATGATTGCGCGAGCACTGGAGTCGACAATTTCACGTTCGGCATGGAGAATTGCACCACGTAGGTTGAACCACGTAAAGTGTCCCACAGTGCTTGCACAACATATAGTGCACAACAGAGATGGCACATCATCTATCCCCCCTTCTGAAACAAAAAATAAGTTGTACCCCCCCCCCCCGGGGTTAAAACCCCCCGGGGGACCCATGCAAAACACATTGGGTGCTGACCCAATGTCCATCCTACCTGTGAATTCATACTATCCCAGCCAAACCGGTATCGCCACCCCCCCATCCTCTGCAAAAAACAAGTAGCGCGCACACTCGTTTATCACAAACCATAAGTTTTCAAGGAGGATCCCTCACAACAGATGGTGCGAAGTGGGCGCGCGCGTTGTCGCGCGCGCGTGCCGATATATTTCAAAAAACCTTCGGTTTCGGAAGGATTTCAACATCAACTTCCCAAACAAATAGAACAACACAAGGTTTGGCAATACTGATGTTCTAAAAAAGCTTACGCGCGCACTTTTGCGACATCTTCAGCAAACCATGCATTCTTCAATTTTGTCAAAGGAATACTACCAAACTGGCTTCGCGCGTGCATGTCGAAATCGTTCGAACGCCCTTGCGCGCGGGCCGTCGCGAGAATCCTTTGCAAAAGAACAAAAAGAAGTGAACGCGCGCGCGTCGTCGCGCGCGCGCATGCCGACATCCTTCAAAACCTACGCTTTCGGAAGGATTTCAAAATCGAGTGTCAAAAAAACATAGAAAAACACCGGGTTTCGCAACACGTATTCTCAACAAAAATGTGCGCACGCGCTCTGGCGTCGTCGTCGTCGTCGTCGTCGCCGTCCCTCCTCCCTCATCGTCGTCGTCGTCGTCGTCGTCGCCGTCGTCGTCCTCTGTCTTTCCTTGTCGCCGTCGTCCTCTTTGGCGTCGTCGTCATTTCCGTCGTCGTTGTCGCCGTGGTCGTCATTCATCCTCTCTCGTCGTCGTCGTCCGTCGTCGTCACCTCGTCGACGTCCCTCTTGTTTCGTCGCCGTCGTCGTCGTCGTCGTCGTCGTCTTCCCTCCTCCCTCGTCATCGTCGTCGTCGGCGTCGCCGTCCTCCCTCCTTCTTCGTCGTTCGCGTCGTCGCCGTCCTCCCTCCTCCCTCGTCGTTGTCGCCGTCGTCGTCCTCCATCCTCCCTCGTCGTCGTCGTCGTCGTCGTCGTCTTCGTTGGCGATGTCGTCGTCGGCGTCGGCGTCGTCGTCGTCGGCGTTGTCATCGTCGTCGTCGGCGTTGTCGGCGTCATCGTCGTCGTCGGTGTCGTCTTCGTCGTCGTCGGTGTCGTCGTCGTCGTCGAAGTCGTTGGAGACGCCGTCGGTGTCGTCGTCGTCGTCGTTGTCGCTGCCGTCGTCGGCGTCGGTGTCGTTGTCAAGTGCAATTTGGTACCTACCGTCACGGTCTTAAGAAATATTGCGACCAGGTTGCGGGTGGGAGGGTGGGATGTTTGCACGAGCAGTGGAGAGGACAGCTTCAAGTTGAGCAAGTGATTGGTTGCACCACGCAGGTTTCACCACATGGATTGCTCCACAGAGACAGCACAACATAGATTGCCAGAAACGTACTGTTGGGGTCCACGCTGGCCAACATTCTCTTCTCCAAGAAGTCAGAAGAGCCCTCTACGCAGGCCCAGTCCTGGCTCAGGGGCTGCGGGTCTGAGTCGGGGGCTGCGGCCTGGGTCAGGGGCTGCGCCCCCATCTGGGTCTGGGTCAGGCTTCGACTGGAGCCCTGGGTTCCACCTTTTCGCGGTGCCCCTCGAGCCGGATCGATCTGCGAGTGCCACGCAAGCCCAGTTAAGGCAAAAGGCCCACTCCCCGTTCCCATCACCTCCACTTCCGTGCCCATCTGCTTCTCCCCAGTGCAGGCAAAATTTTTACGGACAGCGCAAACGTACGGCGAGGCGCCGATGACAAAATCAGCAAAAGTTTGGTTTCCAGCTATTTCGCCACGGAGATCGCGCATTATATAACGATCTCGGGCCCCACATGCTGGAAGCTTCCCCAGTGGGGGGGTTGAACGTCGCAAGGTTATTCGCTGAATGTGGCAGAACGATGCGCCATGCCGATCACGTCTAAGGCGCTAAATGTCGCAGATCGATGCGCCTGTGGCAATCCTCCGGAGGAATCTGCTCTGCGCCGTGCTCGTCCTCGCCTAGCAAGCCTCCGACGGGAAACCCTGCGCGCACCAGGTTCTTGACGTAAAAGTTCAAAAAACCGGTGCCTTCGGGCGTGCGCCCATGGGCGACTTTCAACTGAACGTTCCCCAGACTGAGCCACTGAGGGCGCTCACCGCCACCGCCCTGCGCGTGGAAGCGAAAACCGCCGGGGCGTTTAGCCTCCGCCCATGCCCCTGTGACGTTCAGTTCTTGGAAGTCCGCCACCGTGCCTTGTGCAGGTCGCGTCGTGGCAGAATGCCACAGGGCTGTCTTGCAAGGATTCGCTGTTCTATTCCGCCGCGTGGCCGCGATCCCTCGCTAGAGAACGATTGGGCCGCGCTCCCGAGGCCCGATCCCTCGTAAAACGCAGTGGAGATGCGTCCCGAGCTTCCAAGACGGCCCATGCAGGCAACCAGGGACACCAAGATGGCCCAAGATGCCTCGAAAACTGCCCGAGAAGGCCCCAACGCGGCTCACTACGGCCGCAAGATAGCCCAGGATACATCCGAGACCCCGGAAACGACCACAAGAGGGCCACCAACTAGGTCGGCAGAAACCTACAACATAAACCCTCCGGGGTAATTGAATGAGCTTCGCACCCTCGACATTTCGGCAAGGTCAGCTCAAGACACCACAGGAAGCCTCCACGATAGCCCCAAGACGGCCCAAGAGGCCCCCAAGACGATCCCAAGATGGACAAAGAGGTCCCACGACTGCCAAAGAAGCATCCCAGACGGCCCCAAGACGGCCCAAGAGGCCCTCCCGTCGGACCCAAGACGGCCTTAGAAGGACCCCAGACACTTGCCATACGGCCAAGAGGGCCCAGAGATTCCAAAACAGAGAGCCCCCAGACGGCATAAGAGGGCCCCACGACGGCCCAAGAAAACCCCAAGGACCACCCAGGACTGGTTCACATGAGGCCAAGAAAACCCCAATGGTCCGAACGAGCTCCATGAGAACTGCACAATCAATGAAGCGGAAGCGTGTCGAAAGTGACGGCCTTACTCGTCCTCCTGCTCCTCCTCATGTTACTGCTCCTTCTCATCCTCCTCCGCCTCCTCCTTCTCCTCCCCCTCATCATCAACATCAGCATCATCACCATCAGCACCAGCATCATCGTCATCATAATCATCGTCGTTATCATCATCGGCAGCAACATCGCCATCAGCAGCATCATCAGCATCATCAGTATCGTCGTCATCGTCGTCATCATTATTAGAATCATCATCAGCAGCATCAACAGTATCGCCACCACCATCACCGCCACCACCACCACCATCACCATCGTTGTCAACAGCACCGTCATCATCACCATCATCATCAGCATGATCAGCATCACCACCATTATCATCAACATCATCATCATGGGTATCATCCACCATTATCATCATCATGATCAGCATCATCATCACCAGCATCATCATCCCACAACCACCATCACCACCACAACCACCCCCACGATCATCATCATCATCAGCAGCAGCAGCAGGATCAATAACGTCATCATCGTCATCATCATCCTCATCATCACGACATTCGTCATCGTTGTCATCATCACCACCACCATCATGCATCATCAGCAGCATCATAGTCAGCAGCAGCATCAATATCCTCATCAGCATCATCACCATTGTCATCGCCATCATCATTATCGTCATCATCATCATGATCACGATCATCCTGATCATGACCATCATCATCGTCATTGTCATCGTCATCCGCATCATCATTGTCATCATAATCAACATCATAATTATCCTCACCATCGACATCATCTCCATCATCATGATCATGATCATGATCATCCTCATCATCATCATCATCATCATCATGATCAGTATCACTATCATCGTCATCATCATCATCATCATCGTCATCATCGTCGCTATCGTCCTGGTCATCGCCATCATCGTCGTCGTCCTCATCCTCATCATCATCCTCATCGTCACCCGTATCCCCAGCCACATCATCATCATCATCATCATCATCATCATCATCAACATCATCATCATCATCATCGTCATCGTCATCGGCATCGTCATCACCAGTATCATCATCATCAACACCGTCATCGTCATCCACTTACTTTTCCTCCTCCTCATCAACATCATCACCACCATCACCAACACCATCATCACCAATACCAACATCATCCCCATCATCCTTACCAACGTCATCCTCATCACAATTCTGTCCATCCTGTAGACACAAAGTGGCGCACATAACGGCCTCTCGTGTCCCCTTGGAAAGTCGCCACCCGGAATGCTGGGCTGGCACGGTGGCGGGGCTTGCGACAAGCAACTGGATATATGTCAGCACACTGTCCACCCAACCTCTCCGCGTCTGCGTCTACTCGAAGCAGCGTGTTCTCAACGTTTCCCTTTGGGACGTTGATGAGAACGTGCCTGCCTGTCTTCATCAGGTCGAAGCGCTGTCCGTAGATGTTTTGCAGATGCGGATCTCCAACTGCGGAAGCAGACGCCGGGCGGGTGATCCTGGTGCAGCCCACTGGTAATGAAAACCCCGCCGTCGTATCCCCGATGTTCGTGGGGTTGCCAAGAAACTGCTGGCTCCAATCGGAAATGACCCCTGGATCGGGGCCGCCGTAGCCGACGTACAAAACGCAACACTTGCCTCCACACACATGGTGATTGTTCCGTGAGAGCGCCTCGCACCACGAGAACCCCTCGCAGGCAGCCTTGCACTCGTCGTCGCTCATGGCGCCTCCCGCAGCGCCGTTGTAGTAGCGCAGGGGGGTCACCCCCGAGGAGGTGAGACAGTCTCCCGAGCCCAGACTGGTCCACGAGGCGGCTGGCGTGGCCCCGCGGGCGGCGAGGGTGCTGGAGTTGGTGTCGGCGCTGCCGCTGTCGAAGAGACTGCTGAGCTCCTGGTCGAGGTCCGAGCTCCTGGCGGAGAGGGCGGTGGCGCGCCGGTCGGCGCAGCAGCAGAGCAGGACGAGGGCCCGCACGGAGCACCGCATGTCGCCTCTGGCGGCCCGCGGCCGGCGGACAAAAAAAGTGTGTGATACGTAGGCTGTAGGTGGGCGGGGTGGGTGGCTATGCGTAGAGTGCTCGGGCCCATGCACACGGAGCACGAAGATGACGACGATGACTCGGCGGCGAGCCCGGGGGGGAGCGAGAAGGGGCGGGCCTTCCCAGAAGGCTCGGAAGCCCCCCGGCCTTCTGAGAAGCGTTCTAAGCCTTCCCCGTAAGCACCAGCAACTTCTCAGAAGGCCAGAGGGCTTCCGAGAAGACCCGCCGCCTGCTGCGAAGGCCTTCCCCTTCTCACTTCCCCCCCCCCCTCGCCCGCCGCCGAATCGTGCTCGCGGAGCACGAAGATGACGACGATGACGAATACGACGATGGCGACGTCAGTTGGCACACCCGGAGTGGGGACGGCAACGGCTGGGAGCGATGCCCAAACCGACTGCCCCCATCGCTGGGCAGATGACGCTCGCCCCAAATACGGAGAACGCCCGCGGCGCCACAGGGCGGCGAATGCCCTGCTCAGAGGGGGCGAACACCGCTGTCGGGCACCGGCCCCGTCGTCTCCGTGCTGCTCTGGCCGACTCCTGAAACCGGCTGCACGTGAGAGTGACCCTAGGCCAGGGTGACCTGTGGTGCGCGACGTTCGGGGGCCGCGGGGAGGCCGGCCTGGAGCGCGCGCGCAAGCCGCTGCTGTCGCATCGCGTTGGACCATCTGTGGGCCCCACTGTGCCAGCGTCTATGGGCCCCATCTGCACGACGACGGCGACGACCACGACGACGACCACGACGTCGACCACGACCACGACCACGACCACGACGACGACGGTCGACGACAACGACGACGACGACGACGACGACGACGGCCGCCCCTGACGGTCTCCCTGGGGCTTCCACGACGAAGACGACGATGACGGCGACGACGATAACGACGACGGCGTCGACGACGACCACGACGACGACGAGGATTACGACGACGACCACGACGACGACGACGACAATGACGACGACAACGACGACAACGACGACAGTGACGAAAACGACGGCCACCACAGGACTCGAAAGGTCTAAGAGGCCTCAGAAGGTCTGCAGAAGCCTCTGAGGGCAGCTGGAGGCCCTTCGAGGCCCTCGGACAGGACGACGCCGACGATCACGACGACGATACCGACGACGACGCCGTCGAGAAGGTTGACGACGACGACCACAACGACGACGACGACGACCACCACAACGACGACGACGACGATGGCGTTTACGACTACGACGACGGCCGCATTTCAAGATCTCCAGACGTCCCCGGAGGCCTCAGCAGGTCTGCGGAAGCCTCTGGAGGCGCCTGGAAGCCCTACCAGACCTCCACCGGCGACGACGACGACGACGAGGACGACGATGAAGACGACGATGACGACAAGAACGAGGACGAGGATGGAGACGAGGCCGACGACGACGACGAGGACGACAAAGAGGAACAGGATGACGAATGTCGCAAAACCATATGAAAACACATGGTTTCGCAACGTCAAGTTTCACAAAACCCTGCGCTCGCGCATTTGCGAATCTGTGAGAAAACCATGTCTTGCAACACGTTCATTGACTTGTCGGAAGGGCCTCTCGCGTCTCACGCCGAAATCATTCGAACTTCCTTGTGCGCGTGCTGGGGGGGGGCACGATCCGTGTCAAAAGAAACACACGGGCCACTGTCGCGCGTCGGCCGCGCGCACATGTCGAACTCCTTCCAAAACCTTCATCACCGACGTGATGACGCCGTCATCGTCGCCGGCATGATCCGCACGCATCGGCGCCGTCACTGGCCGTGCCGTCGTCGTTCCCCAACATCGTCACCAGCACCGCTACTACCATCATCGTGTCTACCTCTACGGACGTAGCCATGATACCGCGTTCGCGTCGATCGCGCCAAACTAGCTGGCCGCTGCGCGCGCGAGCACGCGCGGGCTAGCGCGGCCGCAGAGATGCACCAGCCAACACCAAGCACTCATCACAATCGCCTCCGCATGAGTTTTGCAGACCAAGTTGCGGGTGGGTGGGTGGGATGATTACGCGAGCACTGGAGTCGACAATTTCACGTTCGGCATGGAGAAATGCACCACATAGGCTGAACCACGCGGAGTGTTCCACAATGTTTGCACAACATATAGTGCACAACAGAGATGGCACATCATCTATTCCCTTTCTAAACCAAGAAAAGAGGTTGTACCACCCTCCCCCCCGGGGATAAAAAACCCCGGGGAACCCATGCAAAACACATAGGGTGCTGACCCAATGTCCATCCTACCTGTGAATTCAAGCTATCCCAGCCAAACTGGCATCGCCCCCCCCATCCTCTGCAAAAAACAAATAGCGCGCACACTCGTTTATCACAAATCATAAGTTTTCGAGAATCCCTTGCAACAAATGGTGCGAAGTGGGCGCGCGCGCGTTGTCGCGCGCGCACGCCGAAATATTTCAAAAACCTTCGGTTCCGGAAGGGTTTCAAGATCGAGCTTCCAAGAAACATAGAACAACACAAGGTTTCGCAATACTGATGTTCAAAAAAAGCTTACGCGCGCACTTCTGCGGAAGCTTCAGCAAACCATAGTTTCTTCAATTTTGTCAAAAAACTACCAAACGGGCTTCGCGCGCGCATGTCGAAATCGTTCGAACGCCCTTGCGCGCGTGCCGTCGCGAGAACCCTTTGCAAAAGAGAAAAAAGTGAACGCGCGCGCGTCGTCGCGCGCGCATGCCGAAATCCTTCAAAACCTACGGTTTCGGAAGGATTTCAAAATCGAGTGTCAAAAAAACATAGAAAAACACCGGGTTTCGCAACACGTATTTTCAACAAAAATGTGCGCCCGCGCTCTGGCGTCGTCGTCGTCGTCGCCGTCCCTCCTCCCTCATCGTCGTCGTCGTCGCCGTCGTCGTCCTCTGTTTTTCCTCGTCGTCGTCGTCCTCTTTGGCGTCGTCGTCATTTCCGTCGTCGCTGTCGCCGTGGTCGTCATTCCTCCTCCCTCGTCGTCGTCGTCCATCGTCGGCATCTCGCCGTCGTCCCTCCTGTTTCGTCGCCGTCGTCGTCGTCGTCTTCCCTCCTCCCTCGTCATCGTCGTCGTCCGCGTCGCCGTCCTCCCTCCTTCTTCGTCGTTCGCGTCGTCGCCGTCCTCCCTCCTCCCTCGTCGTTGTCACCGTCGTCGTCCTCCATCCTCCCTCGTCGTCGTCGTCTTCGTTGGCGACGTCGTCGTCGTCGTCGTCGGCGTCGTCGTCGGCGTCGTCGTCGTCGTCGTCGGCGTCGGCGTCGTCGTCGTCGTCGGCGTCGGCGTCGTCGTCGTCGGCGTTGTCATCGTCGTCGTCGGCGTTGTCGGCGTCGTCGTCGTCGTCGGTGTCGTCGTCGTCGTTGTCGGTGTCGTCGTCGTCGAAGTCGTTGGAGACGCCGTCGGTATCGTCGTAGTCGTTGTCGGCGGCGTCGTCGTCGTTGTCGCTGCCGTCGTCGGCGTCGGTGCCGTTTTCATGTGCAATTTGGTACCTACCGTCACGGTCTTAAGAAATATTGCGACCAAGTTGCGGGTGGGAGGGTGGGATGTTTGCACGAGCAGTGTAGAGGACAGCTTCAAGTTGAGCAAGTGATTGGTTGCACCACGCAGGTTTCACCACATGGATTGCTCCACAGAGACAGCACAACATAGATTGCCAGAAACGTACTGTTGGGGTCCACGCTGGCCAACATTCTCCTCTCCAAGAAGTCAGATGAGACCTCTACGCAGGCCCAGTCCTGGCTCAGGGGCTGGGGTCGGAGTCGGGGGCTGCGGCCTGGGTCAGGGGCTGCGCCCCCATCTGGGTCTGGGTCAGGCTTCGACTGGAGCCCTGGGTTCCATCTTTTCGCGGTGCCCCTCGAGCCGGATAGATCTGCGAGTGCCACGCAAGCCCAGTTAAGGCAAAAGGCCCACTCCCCGTTCCCATCACCTCCACTTCCGTGCCCATCTGCTTCTCCTCAGTGCAGGCAAAATTTTTACGGACAGCGCAAACGTACGGCGAGGCGCCGATGACAAAATCAGCAAAAGTTTGGTCTCCAGCTGTTTCGCCACGGAGATCGCGCATTATATAACGATCTCGGGCCCCACATGCTCGGAGCTTCCCCAGCGGGGGGGTTGAACGTCGCAAGATTATTCGCTGAATGTGGCAGAACGATGCGCCATGCCGATCACGGCTAAGGCGCTAAACGTCGCAGATCGATGCGCCTGTGGCAATCCTCCGGAGGAATCTGCTCTGCGCCGTGCTCGTCCTCGCCTAGCAAGCCTCCGACGGGAAACCCTGCGCGCACCAGGTTCTTGACGTAAAAGTTCAAAAAACAGGTGCCGTCGGGCGTGCGCCCATGGGCGACTTTCAACTGAACGTTCCCCAGACTGAGCCACTGAGGGCGCTCACCGCCACCGCCCTGCGCGTGGAAGCGAAAACCGCCGGGGCGTTTAGCCTCCGCCCATGCCCCTGTGACGTTCAGTTCTTGGAAGTCCGCCACCGTGCCTTGTGCAGGTCGCGTCGTGGCAGAATGCCACAGGGCTGTCTTGCAAGGATTCGCTGTTCTATTCCGCCGCGTGGCCGCGATCCCTCGCTAGAGAACGATTGGGCCGCGCTCCCGAGGCCCGATCCCTCGTAAAACGCAGTGGAGATGCGTCCCGAGCTTCCGAGACGGCCCATGCAGGCAACCAGGGACACCAAGATGGCCCAAGATGCCTCGAAAACTGCCCGAGAAGGCCCCAACGCGGCTCACTACGGCCGCAAGATAGCCCAGGATACATCCGAGACCCCGGAAACGACCACAAGAGGGCCACCAACTAGGTCGGCAGAAACCTACAACATAAACCCTCCGGGGTAATTGAATGAGCTTCGCACCCTCGACATTTCGGCAAGGTCAGCTCAAGACACCCCAGGAAGCCTCCACGATAGCCCCAAGACGGCCCAAGAGGCAAGAGGCCCCCAAGACGATCCCAAGATGGACAAAGAGGTCCCACGACTGCCAAAGAAGCATCCCAGACGGCCCCAAGACGGCCCAAGAGGCCCTCCCGTCGGACCCAAGACGGCCTTAGAAAGCCCCCAGACACTTGCCATACGGCCAAGAGGGCCCAGAGATTCCAAAACAGAGAGCCCCCAGACGGCATAAGAGGGCCCCACGACGGCCCAAGAAAACCCCAAGGACCACCCAGGACTGGTTCACATGAGGCCAAGAACACCCCAATGGTCCGAACGAGCTCCATGAGAACTGCACAATCAATGAAGCGGAAGCGTGTCGAAAGTGACGGCCTTACTCGTCCTCCTGCTCCTCCTCATGTTGCTGCTCCTTCTCATCCTCCTCCGCCTCCTCCTTCTCCTCCCCCTCATCATCAACATCAGCATCATCACCATCAGCACCAGCATCATCGTCATCATAATCATCGTCGTTATCATCATCGGCAGCAACATCGCCATCAGCAGCATCATCAGCATCATCAGTATCGTCGTCATCGTCGTCATCATTCTTAGAATCATCATCAGCAGCATCAACAGTATCGCCACCACCATCACCGCCACCACCACCACCATCACCATCGTTGTCAACAGCACCGTCATCATCACCATCATCATCAGCATGATCAGCATCACCACCATTATCATCAACATCATCATCATGGGTATCATCCACCATTGTCATCATCATGATCAGCATCATCATCACCAGCATCATCATCACCACAACCACCATCACCACCACAACCACCCCCACGATCATCATCATCATCAGCAGCAGCAGGATCAATAACGTCATCATCGTCATCATCATCCTCATCATCACGACATTCGTCATCGTTGTCATCATCACCACCACCATCATGCATCATCAGCAGCATCATAGTCAGCAGCAGCATCAATATCCTCATCAGCATCATCACCATTGTCATCGCCATCATCATTATCGTCATCATCATCATGATCACGATCATCCTGATCATGACCATCATCATCGTCATTGTCATCGTCATCCGCATCATCATCGTCATCATAATCAACATCATAATTATCCTCACCATCGACATCATTTCCATCATCATGATCATGATCATGATCATCCTCCTCATCATCATCATCATCATCATCATCATCATCATGATCATTATCACTATCATCGTCATCATCATCATCATCATCGTCATCATCGTCGCTATCGTCCTGGTCATCGCCATCATCGTCGTCGTCCTCATCCTCATCATCATCCTCATCGTCACCCGTATCCCCAGCCACATCATCATCATCATCATCATCAGCATCATCATCATCGTCATCGTCATCGGCATCGTCATCACCAGTATCATCATCATCAACATCGTCATCGTCATCCACTTACTTTTCCTCCTCCTCCTCATCAACATCATCACCACCATCACCAACACCATCATCACCAATACCAACATCATCCCCATCATCCTTACCAACGTCATCCTCATCACAATTCTGTCCATCCTGTAGACACAAAGTGGCGCACATAACGGCCTCCCGTGTCCCCTTGGAAAGTCGCCACCCGGAATGCTGGGCTGGCACGGTGGCGGGGCTTGCGACAAGCAACTGGATATATGTCAGCACACTGTCCACCCAACCTCTCCGCGTCTGCGTCTACTCGAAGCAGCGTGTTCTCAACGTTTCCCTTTGGGACGTTGAGGAGAACGTGCCTGCCTGTCTTCATCAGGTCGAAGCGCTGTCCGTAGATGTTCTGCAGATGCGGATCTCCAACTGCGGAAGCAGACGCCGGGCGGGTGATCCTGGTGCAGCCCACTGGTAATGAACCCCCCGCCGTCGTATCCCCGATGTTCGTGGGGTTGCCAACCAACTGCTGGCCCCAACCGGAAATGACCCCTGGATCGGGGCCGTCGTAACCGACGTACAGAACGCAACACTTGCCTCCACACACCTGGTGATTGTTCCGTGAGAGCGCCTCGCACCACGAGAACCCCTCGCAGGCAGCCTTGCACTCGTCGTCGCTCATGGCGCCTCCCGCAGCGCCGTTGTAGTAGCGCAGGGGGGTCACCCCCGAGGAGGTGAGACAGTCTCCCGAGCCCAGACTGGTCCACGAGGCGGCCGGCGTGGCCCCGCGGGCGGCGAGGGTGCTGGAGTTGGTGTCAGCGCTGCCGCTGTCGAAGAGACTGCTGCGCTCCTGGTCGAGGTCCGAGCTCCTGGCGGAGAGGGCGGTGGCGCGCCGGTCGGCGCAGCAGCAGAGCAGGACGAGGGCCCGCACGGAGCACCGCATGTCGCCTCTGGCGGCCCGCGGCCGGTGGACTAAGAAAGTGTGTGATACGTAGGCTGTAGGTGGGCGGGGTGGGTGGCTATGCGTAGAGTGCTCGAGCCCATGCACACGGAGCACGAAGATGACGACGATGACTCGGCGGCGAGCCCGGGGGGGAGTGAGAAGGGGCGGGCCTTCCCAGAAGGCTCGGAAGCCCCCCGGCCTTCTGAGAAGCGTTCTAAGCCTTCCCCGTAAGCACCAGCAACTTCTCAGAAGGCCAGAGGGCTTCCGAGAAGACCCGCCGCCTGCTGCGAAGGCCTTCCCCTTCTCACTTCCCCCCCCCCCTCGCCCGCCGCCGAATCATGCTCGCGGAGCACGAAGATGACGACGATGACGAATACGACGATGGCGACGTCAGTTGGCACACCCGGAGTGGGGACGGCAACGGCTGGGAACGATGCCCAAACCGACTGCCCCCATCGCTGGGCAGATGACGCTCGCCCCAAATACGGAGAACGCCCGCGGCGCCACAGGGCGGCGAATGCCCTGCTCAGAGGGGGCGAACACCGCTGTCGGGCACCGGCCCCGTCGTCTCCGTGCTGCTCTGGCCGACTCCTGAAACCGGCTGCACGTGAGAGTGACCCTAGGCCAGGGTGACCTGTGGTGCGCGACGTTCGGGGGCCGCGGGGAGGCCGGCCTGGAGCGCGCGCGCAAGCCGCTGCTGTCGCATCGCGTTGGACCATCTGTGGGCCCCACTGTGCCAGCGTCTATGGGCCCCATCTGCACGACGACGGCGACGACCACGACGACGACCACGACGTCGACCACGACCACGACCACGACCACGACGACGACGGTCGACGACAACGACGACGACGACGACGACGACGACGGCCGCCCCTGACGGTCTCCCTGGGGCTTCCACGACGAAGACGACGATGACGGCGACGACGATAACGACGACGGCGTCGACGACGACGACCACGACGACGACGAGGATTACGACGACGACCACGACGACGACGACGACAATGACGACGACAACGACGACAACGACGACAGTGACGAAAACGACGGCCACCACAGGACTCGAAAGGTCTAAGAGGCCTCAGAAGGTCTGCAGAAGCCTCTGAAGGCAGCTGGAGGCCCTTCGAGGCCCTCGGACAGGACGACGCCGACGATCACGACGACGATAACGACGACGACGCCGTCGAAAAGGACGACGACGACGACCACAACGACGACGACGACGACGACCACCACAACGACGACGACGACGACGACGATGGCGTTTACGACTACGACGACGGCCGCATTTCAAGATCTCCAGACGTCCCCGGAGGCCTCAGCAGGTCTGCGGAAGCCTCTGGAGGCGCCTGGAAGCCCTACCAGACCTCCACCGGCGACGGCGACGACGACGAGGACGACGATGAAGACGACGATGACGACAAAAACGAGGACGAGGATGAGGACGAGGATGGAGACGAGGCCGACGACGACGACGAGGACGACAAAGAGGAACAGGATGACGAATGTCGCAAAACCATATGAAAACACATGGTTTCGCAACGTCAAGTTTCACAAAACCCTGCGCTCGCGCATTTGCGAATCTGTGAGAAAACCATGTTTTGCAACACGTTCATTGACTTGTCGGAAGGGCCTCTCGCGTCGCACGCCGAAATCATTCGAACTTCCTTGTGCGCGTGCTGGGGAGGGCACGATCCGTGTCAAAAGAAACACACGGGCCACTGTCGCGCGTCGGCCGCGCGCACATGTCGAACTCCTTCCAAAACCTTTATCACCGACGTGATGACGCCGTCATCGTCGCCGGCATGATCCGCACGCATCGGCGCCGTCACTGGCCGTGCCGTCGTCGTTCCCCAACATCGTCACCAGCACCGCTACTATCATCATCGTGTCTACCTCTACGGACGTAGCCATGATACCGCGTTCGCGTCGATCGCGCCAAACTAGCTGGCCGCTGCGCGCGCGAGCACGCGCGGGCTAGCGCGGCCGCAGAGATGCACCAGCCAACACCAAGCACTCATCACAATCGCCTCCGCATGAGTTTTGCAGACCAAGTTGCGGGTGGGTGGGTGGGATGATTACGCGAGCACTGGAGTCGACAATTTCACGTTCGGCATGGAGACATGCACCACATAGGCTGAACCACGCGGAGTGTTCCACAATGTTTGCACAACATATAGTGCACAACAGAGATGGCACATCATTTTCCCTTTCTAAAACAAGAAAAAAGGTTGTACCACCCTCCCCCCCGGGGATAAAAACCCCCGGGGAACCCATGCAAAACACATAGGGTGCTGACCCAATGTCCATCCTACCTGTGAATTCAAACTATCCCAGCCAAACTGGCATCGCCCCCCCCATCCTCTGCAAAAAACGAATAGCGCGCACACTCGTGTATCACAAATCATAAGTTTTCGAGAATCCCTTGCAACAAATGGTGCGAAGTGGGCGCGCGCGCGTTGTCGCGCGCACGTCGAAATATTTCAAAAACCTTCGGTTCCGGAAGGGTTTCAAGATCGAGCTTCCAAGAAACATAGAACAACACAAGGTTTCGCAATACTGATGTTCAAAAAAAGCTTACGCGCGCACTTCTGCGAAATCTTCAGCAAACCATAGTTTCTTCAATTTTGTCAAAAAACTACCAAACTGGCTTCGCGCGCGCATGTCGAAATCGTTCGAACGCCCTTGCGCGCGTGCCGTCGCGAGAACCCTTTGCAAAAGAAAAAAAGTGAACGCGCGCGCGTCGTCGCGCGCGCATGCCGAAATCCTTCAAAACCTACGGTTACGGAAGGATTTCAAAATCGAGTGTCAAAAAAACATAGAAAAACACCGGGTTTCGCAACACGTATTTTCAACAAAAATGTGCGCCCGCGCTCTGGCGTCGTCTTCGTCGCCGTCCCTCCTCCCTCATCGTCGTCGTCGTCGCCGTCGTCGTCCTCTGTTTTTCCTCGTCGTCGTCGTCCTCGTTGGCGTCGTCGTCATTTCCGTCGTCGCTGTCGCCGTGGTCGTCATTCCTCCTCCCTCGTCGTCGTCGTCCATCGTCGGCATCTCGCCGTCGTCCCTCCTGTTTCGTCGCCGTCGTCGTCGTCGTCTTCCCTCCTCCCTCGTCATCGTCGTCGTCCGCGTCGCCGTCCTCCCTCCTTCTTCGTCGTTCGCGTCGTCGCCGTCCTCCCTCCTCCCTCGTCGTTGTCACCGTCGTCGTCCTCCATCCTCCCTCGTCGTCGTCGTCTTCGTTGGCGACGTCGTCGTCGTCGTCGTCGGCGTCGTCGTCGGCGTCGTCGTCGTCGTCGTCGGCGTCGGCGTCGTCGTCGTCGTCGGCGTCGGCGTCGTCGTCGTCGGCGTTGTCATCGTCGTCGTCGGCGTTGTCGGCGTCGTCGTCGTCGTCGGTGTCGTCGTCGTCGTTGTCGGTGTCGTCGTCGTCGAAGTCGTTGGAGACGCCGTCGGTATCGTCGTAGTCGTTGTCGGCGGCGTCGTCGTCGTTGTCGCTGCCGTCGTCGGCGTCGGTGCCGTTTTCATGTGCAATTTGGTACCTACCGTCACGGTCTTAAGAAATATTGCGACCAAGTTGCGGGTGGGAGGGTGGGATGTTTGCACGAGCAGTGTAGAGGACAGCTTCAAGTTGAGCAAGTGATTGGTTGCACCACGTAGGTTTCACCACATGGATTGCTCCACAGAGACAGCACAACATAGATTGCCAGAAACGTACTGTTGGGGTCCACGCTGGCCAACATTCTCCTCTCCAAGAAGTCAGAAGAGACCTCTGCGCAGGCCCAGTCCTGTCTCAGGGGCTGCGGGTCGGAGTCGGGGGCTGCGGCCTGGGTCAGGGGCTGCGCCCCCATCTGGGTCTGGGTCAGGCTTCGACTGGAGCCCTGGGTTCCATCTTTTCGCGGTGCCCCTCGAGCCGGATCGATCTGCGAGTGCCACGCAAGCCCAGTTAAGGCAAAAGGCCCACTCCCCGTTCCCATCACCTCCACTTCCGTGCCCATCTGCTTCTCCTCAGTGCAGGCAAAAGTTTTACGGACAGCGCAAACGTACGGCGAGGCGCCGATGACAAAATCAGCAAAAGTTACGTCGCAAGATTGTTCGCTGAATGTGGCAGAACGATGCGCCATGCCGATCACGTCTAAGGCGCTAAATGTCGCAAATCGATGCGCCTGTGGCAATCCTCCGGAGGAATCTGCTCTGCGCCGTGCTCGTCCTCGCCTAGCAAGCCTCCGACGGGAAACCCTGCGCGCACCAGGTTCTTGACGTAAAAGTTCAAAAAACTGGTGCCTTCGGGCGTGCGCCCATGGGCGACTTTCAACTGAACGTTCCCCAGACTGAGCCACTGAGGGCGCTCACCGCCACCGCCCTGCGCGTGGAAGCGAAAACCGCCGGGGCGTTTAGCCTGCGCCCATGCCCCTGTGACGTTCAGTTCTTGGAAGTCCGCCACCGTGCCTTGTGCAGGTCGCGTCGTGGCAGAATGCCACAGGGCTGTCTTGCAAGGATTCGCTGTTCTATTCCGCCGCGTGGCCGCGATCCCTCGCTAGAGAACGATTGGGCCGCGCTCCCGAGGCCCGATCCCTCGTAAAACGCAGTGGAGATGCGTCCCGAGCTTCCGAGACGGCCCATGCAGGCAACCAGGGACACCAAGATGGCCCAAGATGCCTCGAAAACTGCCCGAGAAGGCCCCAACGCGGCTCACTACGGCCGCAAGATAGCCCAGGATACATCCGAGACCCCGGAAACGACCACAAGAGGGCCACCAACTAGGTCGGCAGAAACCTACAACATAAACCCTCCGGGGTAATTGAATGAGCTTCGCACCCTCGACATTTCGGCAAGGTCAGCTCAAGACACCCCAGGAAGCCTCCACGATAGCCCCAAGACGGCCCAAGAGGCCCCCAAGACGATCCCCAAGATGGACAAAGAGGTCCCACGACTGCCAAAGAGGCATCCCAGACGGCCCCAAGACGGCCCAAGAGGCCCTCCCGTCGGACCCAAGACGGCCTTAGAAGGCCCCCAGACACTTGCCATACGGCCAAGAGGGCCCAGAGATTCCAAAACAGAGAGCCCCCAGACGGCATAAGAGGGCCCCACGACGGCCCAAGAAAAC